TGCTCAATCATGTTCTTATGGTTGGTTTGGTTTTAGTGGCTTAAAACAGTTTTGAATATGTGTGTAGGGTTTTAGAAAAGCCGATCCTGAGCAATGGGAATTTGCTAATGATGATTTTGTGAGAGGTCAACCTCATTTGATGAAGAACATTCATAGACGTAAACCGGTTCATAGTCACTCTTTACCGAATCTACAAGCTCAGCAAAACCCGTTGACGGATTCAGAACGACTGAGAATGACCAATCAAATCGAGAGATTGACGAAAGAGAAAGAAGAATTGCTCAAAGAGTTACAGAAGCAAGAAGAGGAACGAGAACGGTTTGAGCAACAAGTGAAAGAACTTAAAGATCGGTTACAATACATGGAGAAACGTCAGAAAACAATGGTTTCGTTTGTTTCTCAGGTATTGGAGAAACCAGGGCTCGCTTTGAATCTTTCCCCGTGTCTTCCAGAAACAAACGAGAGGAAAAGAAGGTTCCCGAGGATCGGGTTTGAACCGATGATGTTGGAAGAGAATCAACAAACATGTGTTGTTGCTGTGAGAGAGGAAGGCTCTACAAGCCCTCCTTCGCATACAACAGAGCATCATCAAGTGGAACAGTTAGGTTCATCGATAGCGATTTGGGAGAATCTTGTATCGGATTCTTGTGAGAGTATGGTACAATCAAGAAGCATGATGACAATTGATGTAGATGAATCATCTACTTGTCCAGAAAGTCCACCTCTTTCTTGCTTACATCTAAGTATCGATACATGTCCGAAATCTCCTCCTTCTTCAAGGATCATCGACATGAACTCTGAACCCGATGCTTCGAAAGAACAAGACACCGTTGCTCCTCCAACGGCAGCAGGAGTGAATGATGTCTTTTGGCAGCAGTTTTTAACAGAGAATCCTGGCTCAACCGAACAACGGGAAGTTCAAACAGAGAACAAAGACGATCGTAGCGAGAAATGTTGGTGGAATTCGAGAAATTTATATACGATTACAGAACAGCTTGGACATCTGACTTCTTCAGAGAGAAGTTGATATATCAAGATCTGTGTTTTGTAAAATAGGTTTTTTTTCTTCTTTTCTTTCGGTTATACAGTATATGGATATGCTGCTCATTGTCACATGTAATGTCATTTCACTTCATTGTAGTAGAATGTAACATTAAAAATCTTGAGTTTAATGTAGAAACCCAAAACTTTTTAAGGGACTGTAACATAAAAGAAGAAACTTCTCAAGAAGCTTGCAATAAAAATAAAACTTTTATAATGATTCGTACCAAAATTCAATCGCTCCTTTTCCATTTGAATCAGATCAAATGTTCGCCGCCACGAAGAAGAAGTTCGTCAAATGAGAATGGTCGGATTGTGATTACTGATATTCTCTGTAACATGTTGAGAACCATTATTGTCACTACTCCTGAAGATTTGGTAGCTACTGTTTATCTTGCTGCTAATGAGATTCAAGGAGAATTGGGGATTGGTAAAGGTTCTATTATTAAAGCAATCTCTGAAGCTTTTGGTAACACTGAAGCAGAGATTGTGGAGAAGATTAAGGTATTGTTGGTGGAAATGTTCTTGCTTTCGAATACGAAAAAAGTTTATTTTAAAGTTTTGAAATTGAACAAGAAGATGTGTGTTTTTGGGTGTTTTCTAGGAACTTGGAGAATTAGGGCTTGTAGCTAAAAGAAGCCGTTCGTCACAAGCTATGATTTACAAGCCTCAACCATTAACTATCGTCAAAGTTTTCAATACATTTCGACAAATTGCAAAGGTACATTTTTTTCTTGCTTTGAATTAATTGGACTATTGCAACGTGTTTGATTAATCGTAGGAAAGTGGAAAAGGTAGTAAGGAGAAGAAGCAGAATCGAATGAAGGAAGTTTTTGTAGCAACAACAGATTGTGAAGCTCTTTACTTAACTCGTTTACTTCAGGTATTATCACGCAGAATAGTCGTCACAGTTTCTGCTCATTGCTTTGTGTACCTTATTCCGCTTTGTTGAATTTACCTCGCAGGCGAAATTGCGGTTAAAGTTCACGGGTCAGACTGTTTTAGCTGCTTTGGGACAAGCCGCTGTATAAAATGAACAACACTCAAAGCCACCACCAAATACTAAGTCTCCTTTAGAAGAGGTTTTGCTTTCTCTCTTTTCTGATCGAAAAACCGGTTCTTTGTGAGTTACAATAGAATGATGTTCCTGTTCTGTCATTGTAGGCTGCGAATATTGTGAAACAAGTAGTCAGTGTGGTTCCTGCTTATGACACTATTGTTCATGCTCTTCCAACTGGTGGTGTGTGGAATCTTCCTAAAGCTTGTATATTCACACTTGGTGTACCGATTTCTCCCATGCTTGCAAAACCAGCTAAGAGTGTAGGTGAGATACTGGATAAATTCCAGGACACGGTTTTCACCTGCGAATACAAATATGATGGACAACGCAAACATGTGAGTATATTGATGTTTATCTTGATTGATGAATGCTACTCCTAAACCTTTACAGGTAACTCATAAACGAATAGCGAGGTTCTGATATTCGAGTATAGTTGTAATCTTCAATTCTGTTTCTTCCAGGTTTTGAACGCATAAAAATGTGAATGTCCATAATATCAAGGTTGGTGTATGCACCTTAGCTTTTGACATGTTATATATCTAAATGGCGAACTACTTATCCTGGAGAATCTGAATATTCGCCGAGAGGTGAGCCATATCAGTAAATCATAAATAAGGTTTTCTTTTTCTTTGGTTAAAGTGAAGCAATTGTTGTGAAAATATGTAGCGGGTGATTGGGGAAGCACTTTTAAAACTGTGACTTTATTTTACAGTCTTTAAAGTTGTAAATTAGCCAATTGGGCTTTAATGAATTTACAGTGCTCCTAAAAAACTCACAGCCTATTTCTTTTTTTTGAAGTTCTTTTACAGTCAAAGTCTTTACAGTTAATAAATTAAATTAAAAGTCCCACAGTAACAGTTCTAAAAATCCTGCGATGTCGAGGAAATTCAAGAGTTTCTTGAAGCTTCTGTTGAAGATGGGTATGTTCCTTACACTTGTATTGAATCTCTATGAGGAAATTTATGTTTGTTTTGCAGTTGTGAAGGTTTAATGATTAAAACATTGAACTCAGATGCAACCTATGAGCCTGCAAAGCGATCAAATAATTGGCTTAAACTGAAGAAAGACTATATGGAGGATAGGTAAAAACAACTTTTTACTATATGGTTTCCTTGTAGGTTTATTTGGTTCATTTTTACTAGCTTGCTATGATGATGATAAGAGAGAATTCCAGAGCATTTGTAAAATCGGTAAGTCTTCTTATGTTTTTGTATGTTCTGTGTTCAGTTTCTTATACATTGGTTTTACGGTTTGGGATACTGTCTGCAAGGTACTGGATTTTCTGAAGCCGAGCTTGAAGAGCGGTCTTCAAATCTTGGCTCTAAAGTGATTCCTACTCCAAAAGTAAGATCTTTCTTTCTTCTTTCTACTCTAGCTTGAGTTCTTGTTGATTGTAAAATAATACAAAATATCCAGAAATGCTACCAAGTTGGAGACAGCCTCAAACCAGAACCAGATGTTTGGTTCGAGCCTACTGAGCAGGGGCGGAGGTAGGTTATACAAGGAGGGGGCAGTTGCCCCCCATGACTTTTTACAAATTAGTGTAATATCTAAAGAGTTTTGGTTATGCCCCCATTGATAATTTATATTTTGCCTCCATCTTTTTATTATTTGACTCAAATGTTTAAAAAAAAACCAAAAATAATTAGTCTAAAATCTAAATGTTCAACAAATAAATTACATGAAAACTCATATATCAAGTAACTAAACATTATAAACTACGACTAATAACTGTTAATTTTGTAACTATTTTTTCGTTCTATATTATTTAGATGATATTGTATATTTTTTACGTTTGGTATACATTTGCCCCCAATGAATTTTTCTTCTGGATCCGCCACTGCTACTGAGGTAGGATTATGTTTGCTTGTACTAATATCTTCCCAAGTCTTTTATCGGTGTCGAGATTCTATCTTAGTTATGGTTGAAAGCTAATTAACATGATTTGCTTTAAGGTATGGGAAGTGGCATTGTGGACCCTAATAAGGTTTAACAACATTATCTGACCTATG